GGCGGTACCATTACCAAATTACGTCAATTGCGCATAAGGGGTTCTCGCCAAGTTAGACGGCGCGCGTATTACTATCAAAAAATGATTTAAATAAAATATTTGTATTTTTATGTGTAAATCGAAATACATTGTATCCTTCAAAAAATGGACCGGTTAATCTGATATATAGGTAAGTGAAAGTAAAAAAAAATGTTTTATTAGCAATCCACGATGGAGTCTCCATTGTCAACTGTCAAATAACTTAAAACTAACTTCAGCCCGTGACTAAAACGACATAAAGTCACAGCTTGTCAATGTGTATTAAAAAGGTCACTTAGTATCATGGAAACATGTATGATAAAAATAATTAAGATCAAAAATGCTAAATGTAAAGGTATATTTTAAAAGTTTAATTAAGAAATATCTAATTCGTAAGCATTAAAAAACAATATCTTTGTGTCAAAGTTAGCTATGGTTAAGTGGTAATTTAGAAATACTAACTTATTTGCTTTGGTCCATTTAACAATAAAATAAATCAAAATTTAATTTCTATTGCAATAATTTTTCTTTAATGTCGTGAAACCATTTGGTTTAAGCTCGTGGTTTTTAAGAATATCATGCTGTGTTTCAATTCATACCGTAATTACTTCACCGCTTCAAATTATTGTTTGGTAATGGAATACCTATTTGTATGCAATTTAATATTGTACATCTAATTATATTATTTAAAAATGCATACTACTGCAATTGAAATAAACTCCAAACCGTTACAAATATAACATAAAGTTTAAAAGAATAAAATTTCAATTTACTTCATACATGTGTAATTTTACATTGTATGTAAGAAAATAATGCATTAAAGTTACAAACGTATTTTAAGTTTAATTTTGTTTGCACAAAACATTAAAAAAGTGCATATTTTTTTTGGAAAAAAATACCTATAAATGCACATTTTTTAAATTACGCATGCATTTGATGATGCTTTATTGAAAAGAACATTTTTACGGAAAATACCGCATGGGCATCAAAGTCGCTTTGCATGTTATCATGTTATGCTTTGTGATATACATTTCCATTTAAAAATGGAAAAAATAGTTTTGTTGTTAATGAAGACTAAGCCACAAAGAGACAAATCTTTTAGGATTTTAATGATTAAATTTCTAGCACATTTCAAACCAACAAGTATGTCTAAATGCAAAATAGTTCTTGCTTTTATTTCAGTTCACTAAGTTAAAGATTATAAAAAAACTAGATTGCATTACAGCTTTTTCAATAAAAAATAGTTTTTATTAATGATTAAGTAAACTTTTAATTAAAAAAAATTGGGAATGAAATACGCCTAAAAAGTTTTTAGTAAAAACATACAAATTAAGAATTTGTATAGGTTACTAACTAGCGAATGCAGAAGTTGATGGTCCAAAGTAGTAAGGACGTGTAAAAGACAAACGTAACCTCAATTTTTGGTCGTAGAATTTAGTTGTGTATTCTTTTTTTTTAAGTTAGCTCGTTTTTTCAAGATATTTCAGATTTTTTAAAGGAAAAGGCAACAAAAATCTTTTTTGAGGTGTCTTAATTTATTTTTAATTCAGGTATCAATACTCAACTCTAAAAATTATGGCCGTTTATTTTTAGGTGGATACAGATCATTGTTTTTAATTTTTAGTCCTTTGTTGATCGATTTTACAATTTTTTATGCCTAGAATCAAAATTGGATTCGTAACATTCATTAAATTTTAAAAAATGTACTGTTCTGTGGCGATTGACAACCCAACAGAAATTGGCAAGCATTGAGACGAATCTATTGCCAGAAAACTGGTATTCAAAAGTCATGATAGATTGATGAAATCTCTTTGATTCAGTTTGTTATAAAAATCAAAATTGGCGTGCAATATATGTATTTTTAAAGACGTACGCACGTCGAATGTGTTATGAATGAATGAAAACGCGTAGCAATTGTCACGGTAATGTTCACCTGCAGGATCAGTCCAACCCAATGTAAAGTAATTATGTAATAAAAAAAGTTGTCCAGCCATTTTGCTTTAATTCGATGATGATTATCTTTTAGTACGCTAAACTGCATTCTTTTTTCGAAATTTTTTTAACGGATCCAACCCATTTTCACAACACAAACAAAATTTGATGACCATCCCAAAAAAACTTTTCCCCTTTTGATTTCTGTTAAACAAACAAAATTGGACGAACAAAAATGAACTTGAAAAAATTTGATCGAGAAGTATGTGTCCTGAAAAAAAAGGGTAAACATTTCGACTTTCTACCGTTATCGGTTTCGAGCCACCGGGATTCGAGAAAAACCGATTCACAAACTTACAGGCAACAGAAATTCCATTTCAGGTCGATCATTCATTTAAATGTACAGGGTGATCCCCTGTAATGTCGCCCCCCTTTAACTTTTTTATTTTAAGTGTCCGAAAAAATTTTAAAGTGTGGTTCTGTAGGTACTAAAAAATACTTTTTTTCTACGTATAAAGAAAATTGATTAGTATACAGGGAAAAACAAAAAGTTTATCTTTTTTCAATGGCTCACCCTATATATGTATTTATTTTTCAATTCCTTGTAAAATTCTAAGCATATTTCATATAACATACCATATACCTAAATTCAACCGTTTCTGAAATATTTAAATTATTTTTAAGATAATAAGTTGAAATAGTTGTCTTTCTCTGTCTGAGTAGGCCATTTTTACTTATTTAACAAGACATATTGATACAATGTCACTATAATAATTTATTTTCAATAAAAATTTTGGTATACTGAGGCTTCTTGATTTCTAACAGTTTAAAAAAACATTTAATGATAACATTTAGAATGCGAATATTTCAGAAACAGTTGAATTTAGGATATGGTTTGTTATATGAATTATGCTCAGAATTTTACAAGGAATCGAAAAATAAATTCATATATAGGGTGATCCATTTAATAAAAATAAACTTTTTGTTTTTCCCTGTATATTGATCAATTTTTCATTTTTTTTAATACGTAGAAAAAAAGTATTTTTTAGTACCTACATAACCAAACTTTTAAATTGTTTGGGACACTTAAAATAAAAAAGTTAAAGGGGGGCGACATTATAGGGGATCACCCTGTACATTTATCGGTGTATTATCAATAAATGTAACCTTCGGCCAAACTTTCGGCTTCGAACAAAATTGAGCCGAGTGATTAGCCGAAGCCTTTTTTCTACTAGGAAATACTAGGATTTACAGTTTAAATGTTCGGCTTTGGCTAAACCTTCGGCTTAATTTTAGGCGAAGGCGAATTTTTGGCACTACAAATTGTATTTAAAACCGACAATTCATATCCTCTAACTATTCCCCAACATGTGGGGATATAGTAGAATGGCTTGTGGTCGCCTTTAGGTATTACTTGTATTTGTAAGTTACATAATTGTCTTTTCTTGACGCCACAAACATTTCAGGCTACTTTTTTTAATGGCCAACGCGTCTTAAAAAATGTTGCTTGCACTTGCACTTTACATAGTAGCCTCCTTACTTTGATTTTATTAACTGACTATTTTGTAGGTTACAAATTTAGAACGTCGATTTATTACATACTTCAGCTGAAATTTTGCACACACTTTTGGCTATGGTCACAATACAATCTAGTATATAGCAACTCAATATTGTAATTTCTTTTATTTCCACCTTCTTAGTAAATGACATTTTATAGGTTAATTTTGTTGTTTTTGTATCCAAGTAAACGATACATTATGGGAACAGACCTGTAATATTTTACGGGCTTGTATAAAAGACCTGTAAAGTTTTACAGGCCTGTAGAAAAGCAATTTATGAAATGAAATGACACATTTGACACATTAATTGAAATTTTAAATTTGAAAATCGTTATCTTAAGGTGAAAATAAAAGTTTGTACGTGTCATGCTTTGCAATTAATCTTTACTAGGCACACTGAATTATGGGGTTCGCTCCTGCATCGCTCACCCCACAAACTCCCAGCTCGCCCGTAAAGATTCATTTACAAAGCTTGACACGTAAATAACTATAATATGGCTGCCGCTCCAAGATGGCGGATTACCTTTTTCTTTACAATCCCCTTGATATGAATATTAAATGAAAGGGTTTGACAACTAGAAAACGATCAGCTTGAGTGATGTCATACTAAATTCAATATGGCGACCGCCTCAAGATGGCGAATTACTTTTTTTACAACCTCTTTAACAAGGGTATCAAATAAAAGGGTTTCTGTAGCAGAATATGTGACGCCAATCTAATTTTAATATGGCCAATGTAACTAACAGACTAACTACATTTTACGACCAAAAACAGTTGAATCGAATTTTTTATTGCCAGAGTTGTATGCTATTAATATTGATTTATCGACTACATCTGGTTTCAACAGAATGTTGCCACATGCCACACAGTCAATTCAACAATGTTTTTATCGAATAATTAGTATCCAGGTCGAATTATTTCTCGACAAAGAGAAGTTAATTGGCCACTAAGATCGTGCCTTTGGACTTCTTCCTTAGGGGTTATCTCAAGAGTAAGGTCTATGCCAACAAGCCATTAACAATTCAACAGCTAAGGGCAGAGATAATAAGGCATATTGGTGAGGACGAGAAGCAATTATGCAGATTTGTCATCCAAAATTTGGATCATCGAGTGAAGGTGTGCGGCCGAAATCTTGGCGAACATTTTTCCGATATTATCTTTCACACATAATTGCCATGTACCAAATAACAGCATACTATAAAGAAATAATCTTTTTTACATTTAACATTAAATATATAAAGGCGTAAGAAGCAAAAGGGTACAAGAGCATTTTAGAATAATAAGTTAAGTGCAGAATTGGGTAGTTTAGAGTCCAAAAATTTTCCCATAACGTGAAAATTGTACGAGTTCTGCATGTTGATTAATGCAAACAACAATATTGAAACAAGTATCCAGATTTTTGTACCCTTTTGCCTTCCAGACTGGGGTTCGAAAGGAATAGTCATAAACTTGACTTTTGTGGGCTCTGTTTTTCAAAAACTGGACTTCAAAATGGCTTTTAGTTCAAGCAGTAACACACTTCAGCCTTTTAGGCAACCCCAAACATCCAAAGTGCACTTGGCTCATGCTAGATTTGGTAGGACAGAGAAATCGAGAGTTGCCCAACATATACTTGATGATGGTCATATAATAGGATTTGACAACCTTAAACTTATTAAGGAAGTTAGGGAACCAAGTCTGCTAGATATTTACGAAAGTTTATACATCTATAAGAATAGAAATAAATCTTTAAATAGCGATAACGGACCGGTATTCAAATATAGTTTGTATAAATTAGTTTGTTAGTTTATCTTTACGTATTCACTGAAGCGGTAAAGGTCCAAGCTAAGTATCGTGAAGACGTTAAATTTAAATTTATTGAGTTTGTTTACTTTACCCTGTCGATACATATATGAGTGCTTAATATATGCAAAAATTTTAAAATGCACTCTGAGTTACATGAATTCAACATCAGAAACCAAAATTATCTAGTAAATGATTACATAAGAAGTCTCAATTTTCCACCTCCTACCATGCTCCAAAATCCCTATAAATGTAAGAAATATTCAGCTAAAGGAATTTAAAAAATTCATAAAAATTTTGCTCTTTAGATGAATTTTTGTAATCAGCATTTTTAGTTTGTGATGCTACAGTAGTGATTTAATGTTTAATATTTTTTAATTATTTAATAGTTGTTAACTTAGTATTTTAATTATTCAATGTTCTTCTAACTTATTGACTTATGCAAAACATAAAAATATTGCTATAGCACCAATAAATATTATTATTATTATTATTATTATATATTATTTAGTAAACTATTTGACATATTTTGCCCAGACTTAGGCAAAAATATGTTTTACATCAGTTTACATTGAGTTTAATGGTATTTAAAATTGTGTAAATTAAGTTTTAAACCATAAAAACTAATCTTGGATGAAAACGTTGAACATTTTTTTAAAGCCAACGAAATGCTTCAATCTTTAATTAACATAGAATAATCAAGTCACGACGTTTTGCACTTGAAAATTATACGAGAACAATAATTTGTTTAGCGACGATACGATCAGGAAAATAAATAAAAGATGCAATCTTTTAATACATATATTAGTTTTTACATTGGCTATACGGTACTTCGTGGTGATTCGTAATTAGCGCGCAAGTTAAAATGCAAAGTCTATTTATTATTATTATTCCGCGACTGGATTTCCTATATGAGTGGGCGCATTTGATTGCAGATTAATCGCAATCTAGCGAGATAAATAACGTAATAATTGGAAAAATCGCTTGTACTGTCTTGTATTACTTGAAATATGGAGAATAAACACGGAGAAATTTTACTTAAAATCGATACGATTAGAATTTATGGCACTTTTTGTATATTTTAATCGTTTATCAAGAGCACTAGCATTTACACCTTCATACTTACATACAAGCTTTAATATTTAAATTTGGATTTTGTTATTTATCAAAGTAAAAATTTTAGGATGTATTATGTCTTATATCAGTTTGCACTATTTTATGGTTTACAGGATGAACCAAAAATGGGCTATTGCCACAAAAGATACATAAACTTAACAAACTCTTTAAAAATGAATTATTAAAAATTACTAATTTAATAGTTATTTGTGGCTACTTTTTCACTTGTCCATGGTTAACCATAGAATACCATGGTATCTCAAAATTTAACAGCCAATTCCTAATAAAATCCGAATCCGAAAATACCGTCAAAAATTATTAGAATGGGAATCCGAATGAGGAAATAAAATAAGTTCAATCCCTGCAAAATATCAATTGTACCTATTAGAAACAATAAATACACATTTTACGTAAACATTGGAAACATTTAAATTCAGTAATAATTATATAAGAAATAAGTCGCATTATGAATTAGTTGATAGTTGATTAAGAAAGTCTCAACGGTAAAAGACCAAAACGGGTATTATATTATGTTTTATATATAATATTATGTTGCCATAAATTCGTACTTAGTAATTTTTTCTTTTACTATTTCAAAATGCAGTGGTCGGCGTTTGCATTTGGAGGACTCAAATATAAAAATGTTTGATTTATTGAGGTTATATTTGTTTAAATATTATATTGTGGTAGATTTCATAAAATTGTCGAAACTTAAATATAAATTATATTAATAAATTAATAAAATTAGCTTTAAATTCTTCATTGTGTTCGTCTTAGATAAAGTATAGATAGTATGCAACTCGTTTTTATAAACTTCTCTAGACAAACAGTTTTATTATTGCTCGCAAGGGTCACTTGTGCCTAATAAAACTTGTGAATAAAATGGCGTTTATTAAACTTGATACATAATATACTATAAAGCCATTTTAATTTTTTATATTATGCAAAATTTAAGAAAAAATTATTTATTCTGAATATACCTAAAGATCTGAATTTTTTTGGCGAGAAAGATTATACCATTTTCATAAAAAATAATAATAAGATTTAAAATACAAAATGCACGATCCTTTTTTAATTCTCGTAGACTTCGAAATGCGAAGAAAAAAACCAAAATAAATATATAAACAATATCGAAAGTCACATTTCGTATGGCAAAACGCAAGGCAAAACTCGAATGAAAACTGACTTTTCTGGGTGACTTAACACTCGTTAAAAAAGTCTTTTAACACTTGTAAAACAAATAAATATTATCTTAAATCAAAAAACCCTCTACGCTGTAAAAATAATTTAAACCCAATCAGGTAAAATTATATTCTGTAACAAGCTTGTGAAAAGTTACAGGGATAGCGAAATATGAAATTCCAAATGTGTTTCAGACTATGCTTTTTCTACGTTTCCAAAAGAAACCATAGAAAAATAATTTAATTGGAAGAAAGTGAGGTTGGATCAATCTAAAGATGTTAGATAATAAACACAGATATGTCGCCAGTGGCGACTCGCCACCAGTGTTTATTTCGTCATTTGGTAATAGAATAATTCATTCTGTAACAGGAATATATGTAATTCCACATTAAAAATGATATTAGAATAGTCATATTCCGAAAAGGATTGGAAAAAGTTTTTTTCCATTCTATATATTTATATATATATATATATATATTAGGGTGCTTCAAAAAATAAAATCTCTTACCCTTTTAAATGTTTAATATAAAAAAAAGTCCTCACCAAATATGGGCGTTCCAGCTTAACTCCAAGAGGTCGCTGTTTTTATTTTATTTTCCCATTTAATTAACATGGGAAAATAATTTTATGTTTGAAATTTTATACCTTTGTATCAAAGTAAGTTATGGCAATGATTATTGCTTTCTTATTATTTTTCGATAAATTGATTTCTTCTATGTAGAGTTATTCGAGGTCAAAGTTTGATTAACATCAAATTTTCTGTTTTTTTTAATTTTATGGTAAAATTAGCAGACGGGAGGTGAAAGGGAGCAAAACACGGCAGCGGGGGGCAAAATGGGGTACCCAAAAAATGAGCATATGAATAGTTTTCCAAAATCGTACCATCCTTTATCTCGCTCTACAGGCTCAGAATAATTATTTTCGATTAAAAGCGTGAACTTGTGTCAATATATTTTCAAATAATTTAGAAACCGAAAAAAACAACCTAAAAAATGGGTACCCCCCATTTTTAATGTGTAATTACATATAAACATTATAACATTATCTATATTATTTTTTATAATAATAATTATTACAAGTTTTGTGTTTTTTTAAACTACTGTAATGTAATGTAATGTTTATAAAAAATAAAAATTTAGTTAAATTACTTACAATTCTCACAACAAACAACGCGGGCCACTGTGGTGCCAAGAAGACACTTATTTAGCATGAATCTTTATCAAGCGAGAGCGAAAAGTGCGGTGTAGAAAGGGGTGTAGCAAGTGCCGCAAGCGTGACAACGTAGACTTTTACTTCATTTGAAAAATTATTTATTTTAGAATCCGCTAAAGTACGCTGGATCCAGCTGGATTGCTGGATGAGGGATCAAGCAATTGCAATCCCTAGTTATAACCTTATAACCTGTTTGTATGTCCACTTGTACCATGTCCACCTAGAGTAAAGATAGTCGATTTTTTCTGTGCTGTAAAATATTTCATGAAGAAACTAAAAAATAGGAATCGTAATAAATGTTATTTCTTGAAACTATACATTTAAGGTTTTGCCTTTATAGTGCTAGCAAAAATTTTTATAATTTTTTGAAATAAGCTTTGTGTTTTTGGCCAGTTCACTATTCATTACAACAAATGTGTGACTTTTTAATAAATAAGACTATTTTAACAATACTCATCTACTTTTATGCAATATTAGGCAATTACAATTGATGAAATGAGGAAAACCTTAATATTTGGGTAATTTTTTTTTAAACCGTTCATTTGTCAATATTTGATATTGCAATTTTCTGCAACTTGTAAAATAATAGTAGATTGTGCGACTAGTAAGCATATCGAAGTTAAGAAATTAACAATTAGGGAAATCATTATTTCGCTCACCCTAAATAGGGCCACGAAGTTACATATTTCTTGCGGGTGTTGAATAAAAATAGATTTTCTTTTTGTGGGACAGTTACCTCTACAATAATCTAATAATTGTATATTATTAAACACCTTTTCTACAGATGCATCCAGATCAATCCAATTAAATTTATATGATTTGTGTTGATGGCTGCATGTATAAGAACGCACGTTGAAAACACGAAATAAAAAAGTTGCAGTGCTCGGTATTAACCAAATATAGATCCGGCTGCGCTATAAGTCATTATATTAATTAAAATCCAGAAGAATGTCGTTGAAATGAGCTCAAATATCCATCATTAGCGCGCCACGACCTTATTTACCTTGTCTTTTCACTCCAACTGCATACTGATTACGCTGCATCCGATCAAAAGACGAATTTGCATAATGTATTGTAATTCAGAATGTCCAACATAGAAATTCATCCATTTCTGATTATTCTCTATTTTTTTCTTAACTAATAAAAAAAAACTTACCAAGAATAACACTGAATACTTTACTGTGATTTTATTAATTTTTTTATTTAACCGAGAAAAAGTTATGAGTTTTTCAAAGAAATCTAGTCTTAAAAAAATTAACCGAATAAGACAATTTTCTTAATTGT